ACCCACTCCTGTGACTATTCGCTGGATAGAATTCCTGGCTAGTCATTTGGTATCAGTGTCACAGGAGCTGGTGAAAGATGAGTTGTGGGTCTGAGATTGGGCTGAGATGCCTTTACACTCAAGAGGCTGTACTCTCTACTCTGCTACTATTAGTCTTCTCTGCTCTCTCCCTGTCTTCCTCTTGCATAACCTGATTCCCAGGAAAAGGAATGAGAATCCTAATGTAAACTGTAATGTGTGTAATGTGGAAATCCCTAATATGGCTTAATATGTCATCCTTCCTGGGATCGCTTCCATTTCAATGACAGATGAGCAGCTCAGTGTTACAGAAACAGCCCTGTGTGGAAGCCAGGGATGGCATGGGCTGGGAAGAGGCCAGGCGAGGAGAGGACTGGCTATAACCCCTGGCATACATACACCATGGACCATATGCCATTTGTGTGCCCTCTCCATAGCCCCCTCCCAGAATATCTGTCCACCTTCTGCTGCTTTTCATCTGTACAGAGATCCTTAGACAGGAAGAGAGTCTGACTCGTCAAGAAAGCAAATGCTCGACCCAAAGTTCTTGGCTGTCCACTGAGCACACGTTTCTTTTATGGCTTTAAGTTCACAGAGCACAGGTTTGGCCACGAGACCTGCAGACACGGAATGCACTCAGCGAAAAAGCACATCAGAATCACTCCAACACACCCAACGGACACACACAGGGTGTCAAGCAGTGACAGGGTGTGGCTTTGGGAGCTGGGGAGTAAATGAATAAAGTGAGTCCTGATATAGCTTTGTCTAAAGGCAACTGCCCATATCATCTGGTCATTCTGCTCCTAAATCTTGAATTAAGTGAAAAATCAAACCAAAATCAAAACCAAATGCCTCAAAAAACCCAAGAGGCCTTCTCTGCGAGATGAGAAGTGCAGGTGACCAGCACACTGCGGTTTTGGTGACAGTTTCTTCTCCTCCCATGCAGAGCTTCCTTAAGGAACAACTCCCAAGGCCCTGGAAGACTGGGTGGGCAATAGTCAATTGTATAGATGAGTCCTATTGGGTCACATTATACATGCGTTTGGGCACTACTGACACCACCTACATTTAATGGAATCATTTGGGATTTCCCCCCACCCCACCCCCAAATTGCAACATGACTGTGGCCAGAACAGGGGAATCCACGTTCGAGAGTTCTCCCGTGTTCCGGTGGCAGCTAAACAGTGACAGACTTGGAAAGTACAAGACCCACTGTACATGCATCACTCTGAAGGCTGTGCATCCCTAACACAGGCAAATACAAGGAGTCGATGATCTGAGGTCGGGGCAATGCTGAGCTTGAAATATTGCTGCCCAAAGGGGTGACACAGAACCACGCCCCCTTCCCCACCCTGGACAGTGAGAGGGAATGCTAGAGCAAATGGACTAGAGAAAGCTCGGACTCTGGAGACAGCTGGAACCATGGGTGCCCCTGAGAAGTTTGGGGAATTGTGGGTTGGGACAGACCTAGTCCTGGTACAGACTCTTCTGTATAGATGGGAATGACAGCCTAATCCCTCCTCCTGTGTGATGGACATACTACCTGGAAATGAAGTGACATCTAGAACTGGACCATGCTCAGTCTTCCTTGAAGCCCTCTTGGGCAGCCCATGAATATCTTACTTGGTCCCAAATCAAACATCCCATTGAGATGTGCCAAACTGGGGCCAAATAAAGGATCGTGAAAAATGAAATTATCCAGCAGATGGTCTATGATGATGGGAGGAGAGAGAAAAAAATGTAATGTAGTAGCCTGGGTAAACAGATTTGGAATTCTCATCCATGCTAAGAAGAAGGGCTGTCACCCACCACAAAACCAAGAGTCCCAGGAAAGAAATTCAATTTGTCCGGTTAACCTAAGGTCAGGTTATGAATACCTGGCTCGAGGCAAGTAGCACCTTCCTGATGGCAGAAATGAGGACAAGGCAAATAGAAAGTCTCACGGGGTGCCATCCGTCCCTTTCTACCTTGAGTACCAACTCTCATGATTTTTCCAAGCCAATGGCCTGGCCATTGATTGGAGTCTTGAGCAGACCCAGCAGCTTCTAGAAAAGTATGGAGAGTATGGAAGTCACGGGTCCAGTGCTACCTCTCGGCAACCAGATAGATATCACAAGCTTCAAATAAGCAAAATTTTGGGGAGTTGGGAGTGAGGGTGGAGGGGGAAGTCTGTGGGGCTGCTTTGGAAGGGGTGAAGGGGAGAGGGTTGGTGGGTCACATGTGCTAGGAAGAAAGGAGAGTGATTGGGAGGGTGCAGAGGGGGGCGACTGGGAGATTTCTCAGGATTGAGCTTCCTGAAACCTCACAGAGGCTTTGGGACCTCAATTCTGTTTGAAGCCCTTTGGGAAATCTCTCCTATCCTCGGCTGCTGACAGAATGATTATGGGGCCACCCGCTGAATTTTGCATGGCATACCGAGAAATTAGGGGCCCATATTGCCCAATTGCCCAAGATAAACGAGAAGATCAGTATAGGATCTGGGACTTGCTTAGAGTCTGAATGAAACTTGGTCATAGCCACCAGGCAGACGCTTCTCACAGACTAGTAAGACTGGTTAGGTGAGGGGGCCTGGACACTTAGGGCCCCCATCCCAGACTACAGTCCCCCTCTGGGCCTCCATTCACATTCCTTATTTCTCCAGACACCCTGAAGCAAAAGCCATACAAAACAATCCCCCCCACCCATGGAAAATGGAAACCCTGAACAAAACACTCCCCCCCTCTCATTCCCGTCCCCACCCCACTCCCTCCAGCCCAACACCCTGAATACTCACAAGAGAACACTTTATCTATACAAAATGAATTAGAAAACAAAATATTTACATATGAAATAAACGCCATCTTGATTTCTGTCACCAGTGGAGACGACAGAGCCCCCTTTGTTCTAGATTGCTGTTCGCTAGGTTAGTTGGTTTGGTTTTTGATTTTAAACTGGGGTGAGGTCCGAGGAAGCATGAGGGGAAGAGCCCCTGCCCTGGACGGAGTCAGGGGGAAGCAAATGTATCTCTGGCCCTTCTCCTCCTTCCTCCTGGAGGTACCTCACCTCTCTGCCCTTGCTCTCGACATCCTTCCTGGAATCTAAGGTAAAGCACTCGGTGCTCCTCCCTCCAAATCTGGGAGAGGTTCAGCCCCTTGTCCCCAGGTTCATTTTAGAAAGAACACAAAGCTTTACAAGGCCTTCAGTTGGCTTGAAAATGAAAGATACTGAGGTAAAAATCAAGGGGCAGGCAGGGGTGTGGGGAGCCGTCAAGGGCTGTGGAGAATAAGGAAGAGAGAGGAAGGAGGCAAACAAGGCAGGGGACAGCCCTGGAGGGTGGGACGAGAAGAGACATGGCAGCTTTCTTCCAGAGGAGGGTAGCACCTTTCTGGTTTGTGTGTCTTCTGCACAATGGGGTGGGCCCGTGGCCCAGCTTCCAAACATACCTGGAGCCCGTGGGCTGTCATCCAGTACCCCCAACCCCATGTTTCAGAACAAATATTCATTTCCCTTCTCAAGTTTATATCTTCCTGTGAAGGGAGCATGGGTATTTTCTAGGACCCTCCTCCCGGAGAAGAGAGAACGCTTCCTCTCCAATGGTTCAGTCTGGGAGGGAGCTTCTAAGACAGTGTAGACACTGGGATTTGAGTCACATTCTTGAGGAACCAGGTCCCACGGGGCAGGGTGAACCTCCGGTCCCCAGTCCACATCTGTCTCCACACCTCCTGAGCTGTACTCACAGAGCAAGCTCATGCCTCTTCTCCATGTGACCCATTGGGGTGGGGGGAGGGCGGAGTGGGGTGGGGTGGGGGGAATAAACTCTCCCAGCATTCCCAAGGTTAAGTAAGAAGGGATCAAAGCATTGAAAACATCCCCCTCTCTCACTTACCCGACCTGAGGTGACTCCCCTAGTCTTTAAAGCCTTAACTAACTCCTTCCCAAACCACAGCCAAGGCTCCAAAGAGTTTTAGGGAATCTGTTTGCTCCCAAGTTTTGGGCAAGAGAATAATGGCTGCTGCTAATCCCTTGCACCTTCATAGAAAGTTCTTGGCTCAAACAGGTTAAAAGTACTGGCCACCACAAAGATATTCATGTCCTACCTGGATCTCCAGGGAATGCTCCCTACCTGTTTTTTTTGTTTTTTTTTTTTAACCACAGAAATGGCTCAGTAGAGAATTTCCCTTTTCTGCCTTCAGAAAGGGTGAAGGGGCGAGAGAGCCAAAATCCAGCGACCACGTGACCATCCCTGTTTGTATATAAGCCAAACAAGTACAGTTAAGGGGCTCTGAGGAGAAAATGAAGTTAAAGAGGCCTCCTCTATATCCACAGAGACATACATGTAGACCATGTGTGGCGCGGGACACCTTTGCATCACGTGTGTCCTCTCACCTCCAAGGTGGGGACTGGCCACATCTATCAGCCACCACAGGCCTTTTCTTCTAGTTCACCCCTCTGGGAGTCCCAGGGAACCGAAGCAAACATTTCTGGGTTTTTTTTTTGGGGGGGGGGCTTATATACAAACACACATGGCCTCCCACCCGCCGCTTGGCACACGATTCCTAAACAGATGTCGATTTAGACAAAGCCATGTTCACTCTCCAGCGGAGGACGCATGGTCTTAGACGCTTCTGCTGCCTCACCTTGGCCTACAGACCGGGCAGGGGGAACTTTCCTGTGCCCTCACCCACTTTCACACCGAGAGGGTCGGTCAAGAGTCCTTCCCAGCAAGGTGGAGGCTGGAGGGCAAGCGAGGCCCACGGCCACAGGCCTCCCTCGGTGCAGTGCAAAGCCCACCACGCCGGCTCCTGGGAGCCGGACTGACTGGCAAGGGGAAGGCGAGGAGGAGTCAGCGGGCCAGGGGAGCAGAGCCGGTGCCGGTCCCCAGGGATGCCCTCGGTAGGAGCCAGAACTCCAGGATCCCATGAAGAAATTAAAACAGAAACAAAAAAGAAGAAAGGAGCCAATGGGAGCCAAGTTCACCCCGCCTCCCTCCCCGCTGCGGGCACCCCGGCCCCCCGCCCTCCCCGCCTAGACCCACCTTCAACCGCTCGCTTCCCTCACTCAGACATCAGACTCAATACTAGACAGTTTCTCATAAACATGCCCATTGCTGGAGCCATTGAAAGCCCTGGGGTTTTTGTTGTTAGGCACACAGGGGTTGGACTGGTTCCCTATACAGATGTCTTTCTGGAAGCGGCCGGGCACCGCCCCGTGCAGGGCGGCCACCACGGGCTTGTTGGTGACCAGGGCGCGGAAGTCCGGCCTGCCTTTGGGCACCCCCGCCGCCGTGGGCTGCCTGAAGAAGTAGGATTTGCTGCCGTGGAGCAAACACTGGTCGTCCCCGAAAGTGGGGATGAAAGGGTTCTGCGTGACCCGGTCGGGGTAGAGCGACTTGCTGAGCATGTAGCCGCCGGGGTTGTTGTGGTGGTGGTGTCCGGCAGTGGGCACTGAGGACTTGCTGTTGGCAAAGGCGCTGTCGCCGCCTCCCATCTCGAACATGTGCGCGTAGGGGCTGCCGTCCAGGAAGCGGCCCTTGTCTTTGAGGCTCACGCTGCGCGGCGCCAGGGCGGCTTCCTCCTTCTGCAGGTCCACGAAGGTGTCGTACGAGTGCTGCCGGCGCAGTTTGTTGCGGTTCTTCTTCTGGGCCTTGGAGTTGGTGGGGCTCTGGGGGTACTTGGTGGCGGCGGCGCTGGCCGGCACGGCCACCGGGGCCGCCGGCTGGTCCAGCTCCTGCAGGGAGTTGTCCTCGCTGATGTCGTACAGGTTGCCCGCCTTCTTGCACGCCTCGCAGCGGATGCACGCCTGGCGGCCCGAGTTCTGGCCCGCGCTGGCCGGGTAGCTGTGCAGCTTGGACGGGCAGCTGCGGCAGAAGTTGCCGCCGCCGCCCACGCCGCCGCCCACGCCGCCGCCGCCGCCCACGCCGCCGCCGCCGCCCACGCCGCCGCCCGAGTCCCAGTCCACCACGTTGGCCAGGTTCTTCTCCCAGGGCGCCGGCACGCCGCCCACCTTGTCGGCCCCGGGGTGCTTGAGGTGCGCCCGGTTGGTGCACTGGCCGCCGCCCACCGAGTCGCGCTTGAAGTCCTCGCCGCGCTCCTTGTAGATGTCCGTCAGGTCCACGTGCTCCCAGTGCGGCGAGTTCTCCTTGGGGCGGAACTGGTCCAGGTAGAAGTCCCGCAGCCCCTCCTTGTCCCTGAAGTAGCGCTTGTGGTCCGGGGAGCGCGGCGGGCGGCGGCGGTAGGCCAGCTCGATCTCGTCGAACTCGCGCCGGGACTTGGCCGAGGCCGGCCGCTTCTTGAGGCTGTCCTTGTACTGCTGCTTGCGCCGCTTGGCCGCGTTGCCCTCGATGTTGCCGTAGGTGACCGTGTGCGTGGAGATGTCGGACACGTCGGAGCGGATGAGGTCGTCGTGGCCGCCGTAGCGGTCGCTCTTGAAGGAGAACTTGCCGTAGAGGTCGCTGAGCTGCTGCTGGCTGTGCTTGGCGGCGGGCAGGCCGATGTCCAGGGGCTTCTTGCCCAGCGAGCGCGGCTGCGTGGTGAAGGGCGGGTTGTCGCAGTCGTAGAGCCCGTCGATGGAGCTGGTGCTGGCGATGCTGTGCGGCCGGTGGTGGTGGTGGTAGTGGTCCTGGTACACGTTGCTGTCCTTGAGCTGCAGGTTCCCGAAAGTTCTCTCCACCTCGCTGATGTAGTCGGAGAAGAGGTTCTCCTCGCACGGCGGGTTGTTGTAGGACTTGCAGTCCGAGTGCGTGAAGCTGCGGCGGTGCTCGGAGATGTCGTAGACGGACGACTCGCGGCGGATGAAGTCCAGCGCGCTCTGCGGGGAGCCGTTCACCCCGGACAGGTTGGCCATGTTCTTGGCCGTGCGCAGCAGCCGCAGGATGTTGGAGTGCGTGTTGTTCATGGTGGCCGTGGGCGAGTTCATCACCGACTGCCGCTCCTCGATGGCCACGCCGTGGATGCAGCTGTAGATGCCCTGCGGGGACAAAGGGTGGGGCCGATCAGGGTTCCTGCGAGCTCACCAGGGTCCCTAAGGCGGCCGGCTGACCGGCCGGGTGGCGAGATGAGCTCAAAGGGCCGAGGGTGTGCAGGGAGCCGGGGTGGGATGCTCAGCACCCACTGCAGGGTCCCCTGAGCGAGTCACCACATAGCCCCCAAGCACCAGGGGGTGTGCGCCTCAGATCCAAAAATTTAAAGGGCTATAAGGATCATCTCTCCTTCCCCACACCAAACCACCATCATTCAACACCCGGCTAGGTAAGATAAGTCAGGGATGGCGTGAAATCGGGGATCATAGACGGCATGCAGTAGAGGGTAATAGAAGTGGTTCAATGGTGACCTGAATTTGTCAAGTGCCCTGCCATGTGCCAAGGTCAGGCTCTTCAGAGAGCCTGCCAGGGTGCCAAGTGACTTGAACAAAGTATTTGGAATTGCAAGACCAGTCACTCTGCCTCCGCTCCAGGCTCTGCCTTGCTTTTCCTTGTCCTGCCCAGGGTTTGGTATCATTAAAAAAAAAAAAAAAGGTCAAGCTATCAACTGATAGCACAAAATACGACCACCCACCTGAGGGCAGTCATAATAAACAGACACATTCTATAGAGGTTGGGGCTGATCTGGCCAGCCACCATGACTAGCAGTAAAAAAAAAAAAAAAAGAAAAAAAAAAGAAAAAGAGAAAAATAGTTCAATCTGTGGCTCCCATTGCCATTCTTTCCCGTGAACAAATTTCGAGCAGCTTTTTGGATTTTGGTCACCAGATAACAGCTGAGCAGTTCTCTTCTCGAGCCAAGCTAAACCCAATTCCCAGAACTAGGAAGCTTTGGGGTCAAAGAAGGATTTCTCTCCTGCTGTGCCCTCACCATAGGAGGGAGGAATCGGGACGGATACCAAGTGCTAAACAGGAATAAATGAGAGAATTCCACAAGGGGATTGTTTATTCCTCTCCTTAGCTCCTGGTCTCTTTCTTATACTTACTCACTTAATCCTATCATAAATAATTAATAACTCAACAAATTACAGTTGATTGAGGACTCCCTGCATACAGCTCATGGAAGAACACTGTTCACAAGGAAGGGTGGGTTCGACTTTCAGGGCGAACCAACCTCCTATTACTGTCTTGTTCCCTAGCAAGGCACTGGTTCCAGAAAATAGGGATGAGAGGAGAAAGATGAGAATAGGGTGGCAGCTAAATGGGAAAGAGGGACTCAGATGAGGTAGTTCTCATTTTCTCCAGGGGTAGCAGCAAGACCAAAGGTCTTCAGGCCAAGGTGACAGCCTGAAGTCTTGGGTCCAGGGCCAAGAGAAAATTTAATTGTCATCCTCTCTAAGGGCATCATTGAAGCCTATGAAAAGGGTTTCCAATTAAAAGCCATTGGTGCCCAAGGCTTATGCCCTCACCCTATGGGACACTTTGGGGAGGGGTCACACAGCGACTGAGAATGACTCAGGGATTGTAAGTTCTCCTCTATGGTTACCGAATGACCTGAATACATTCATAGCCAGAGAAAAAATTGTTCTCTATCATTAAATTACCACAGGAAAATGATCAAAAGATGGAAAAATTTAACGAGAATTCTGTTTTCTTACATAACTGTTTGAGTCAGTTGGTCACATCTAAAATCAAGACTTCTATTCTAGGGCTGGAGCAACAGTACAGTGGGTAGGGTGCTTGCCATGCACGTGGTCAGGCTGGGTTTGATTCCCTGTACCCCGTATGGGCCCCTGAACACCCCCAGGAGTAGTTTCTGAGTGCAGAGCCAGAAGTAAACCATGGATACTGCTGAATGTTTCCTCCAAACAAGAACAAAATATAAAGATCTTTTTTCTAAAGTGACTTTTTTTTTTGCATTTGTCACTGATGAAGGTCTCCCATAACTTTATTAACAAAGTTGAAAGAGCTTCACTTTTCTGTTTTTTTTTTTCGGGGGGGGGATGCTTTTTAGGTCATAGCCAGTGATGCAGAGGGGTTACTCCTGGCTCTCGCACTCAGAAATTACTTCTGGCAGTGCTTGGGGGACCATATGGGATGCTGGGAATCGAACCCAGGTTGGCTGTGTGGAAGGTAAATGCCCTACCCACTGTGCTATCACTCCAGCCCCACTTTTCTGTTTTTTAACCTTTCCTGTGAAGAGGTCTAAATTCTCACTGTCAGCAAAAATCAGTCAGGAATGACTTTAGATTATACTCATCAAGGAAGTTTCTGGGATGTAAATTTGTATATGGATAAGACTTCCTCAGGGATCAGAGTGAAGTTCTAAAGGTTCTGCTAAGTTCTTTGACTCCTTCTAACTCACACGTGGTTAAAATGTAAGTAGAATCGTGAAGTGTCCAATAATAGAGTGAGCTTGGGATGCTAGATAAAGAAAGATACATTACATCTCACTATTTAAATGAAATGTGACTTTTAAAAAATGATTATGTGATTAATACAGCCTATACCAAATTAACGAATGGTGATGAAAGACATTTGGTAAAAGGCCAATTTTTTTCATTTTGATAGATCTGCCAGTTCTTCTTGAGAACCAAATGCCCAAACCCCACACAAAAAGCTGTTTCTTGAAGAAAAAAATAGCATTGCACATTTTTTTGGATCCACTTGGAACTATACCCCCAGGCCCCAGGGGAAAAGTACATGATATGGTTTCATGCTTTAGCAAGGTAGGAGACATATAAAGTCCTCCTGTCTGTTTCCCAGCATTGAGTTAGGCTGTATCTCCCAACCTCCAGGTATCCAGGTCAGAGCACTTACTCTACTGATGGAGAAGACCATGCCCGGCTTGCCAGAACAGACCCCCATAAAGCAATGTCGGAACTGCCAATAGAAAAGATGTTCACAGATGAAGGTGATGAGGCTGAGAGCCATGGCCGCCCCCAGCATGTAGAAGACTCCAGCCATGTTGTCAATGTCCAGTTGGCTGCTCATGACCTCATTCTTCTCGTTGTGGCAAATGCCGGTGAGCCAGAGTGCTTCCAGCTCCTCCATCTCCCCTGGAGACATGGAAGAAAGGAGAACAGAGGGGAAAAGAAAAGTGGAGAAGGGGGTGTTGCCAAAAAAGAGAAAAACACAAGGAGACATAGAGAAAGAAAGGAAATAGAGAACGTCAACAGTCATTTTTATTAATGCTGTTCTATATTAACTTATCAGTGCACTCAATGAAAACTTGATATCACCTGCAGAGATATAAAATTGCAGACACTATAAAAATAAGGCATTCTCTCTGTGCTACATTTCCTAGCCATAGTAATTGGTAAACAGATCATCAGTATAACAAATTTTATGCAGGAAACAAGGATCGACATCAGAGAAATTGTACGGATGCGGTAGCCAGTGGGTTTTCTTGAGGGAGATGGGTCTTGGAGTGGGGAGGGGACATGGGAAACAGGTGAATGGCGAGTTATCTTGTATAAAAAGGCACTCGGGTGGCAGGAACAGCATGATCAATGGGAGGGAGGTAAGGGAGTTGAGGCTTGTTGAGGAAATGCAGGCAGAACAGAGGATTTCGAACAATATCAGGCAGGGGATGCCCATAGGAAGGTAGCTGCACAATTGCTTGCATGTGTGAGCTCAAGCTCTTGGCTTCCATGTTCATCCTCGTGTCTATAAAAATAAAAAGGTGACTCAGAATATTTCTCCTGAAATTGTAAAAAGCAGAGTATGTATGTGAGGGTAGGGATAGGGGCACAGAGACAGTATTAGAGCGGTTGCTTGGTTTCCTAGGGACCCTTTGGCTTACTGGTTTCTGGTGACAAGGGGGAAATAACATAGTAAAAGGAAATAAGGTTGAATAGAACGAGACCATCAAATGAACATCTGTTTCACTGAATAGATTTCGGAAGCTTGGATTCAGCTTCATTCACCTCACTGGAAGTTGGGCATCAGAAAGGCAGAGACCCTAGAAGCAGGGAAAATGAAAGTGACTGGAAAATCATGGGAATAAAACTGCCTGCTCCAATAGTTTCTATTTGGTAAAACTTTGGATTTTCATTTGCATTATCCTCAGCATTGCCAGTTTCTGTAAGTTCATCTCTGTCACAGATTTTCTTCAGAGAAAGAGGTTCCCTTTATGGCCCTTACGTTGTAGCTACATTAAAATGAATTTATTATTTATGTAAAATAAATAAGCTCTCAGACCCAGGTGTCTGGTTAACACTCTAGCTATAACCCCATCCTAATGTTAACTGAATCTCTCTTTTACCCATTTTTTGCTTAAACTATTTTTTCCCTACCTAGTAGGGTAACCAGCTTCATCTAGAGTATGAGTATGAAGCTAATATGCCTAATAATTGCAAGCTAATAATTGCAAGAAGAATATTCTCTGAATTAAGGGGGTCAAGTGATAGTACAAGCTTCATCCAGAGTCTGAAAACTGAAGCCGTGCTCTGATCTGCCTCCTATCTCCTTCCCAAGAGCAAAGATTCTGCAGATGTGACCTGGACAATCAATGGCTCATGGTCATGTGGCCCTTGAGAGAGCCAGGTGGATCTCCCATAAGTGGAATTTATAAGTGAGGCCAAGAGTTGGGATTCTGGACAATCCACAGAAGAGGGGGTACAAAGAGCTTCTCTAAGGAAACAGAGAATGTTGACTGTAGGTGTTTGCCAGGATGCTTCTGGGGAATGCCCTGTGGCTCTTCCTCTAAAGAGCCCAGCCCTGCCTCTCACCTCTTTCAGTTGAAGGAGCAAGGAGGGAGATGGGGAAGAATGAGGGCCAAAAGCTCAATGTGTCTACCCTTTCTCAGGCACAGAAAGATCAGAGACCTTGCCTAAGTTTCAACCACTGTAGTCATACATGAGATGATCCTCTGTAACATCTGTAATAGCCTCTCTTACCTTCCTCCTTATAAGTTTGGCCATAGCCCATGACTCCAAAACAAAGTTCATTGACCAACAGCTTAAATTCCTTCCAATTTTCCCTGCTATGGGTTGATTGATATGCAATTAATGCAATGCATTCTTAACCTACATGACCATGAAATGTAGCCTTATATGGAAATCAGGTACATGCATTGTAACTCAATGAATCAGGTCATCCTGGGGTAGTGTGGCCCCTAATGCAGCATAACTGGTATTCTGTAAAGAGAGACACATCAAACATACTTATGTTCATAGGGGAAAGTGTGAAATGAGTATGAATGATATGCCTACAAACCAAGGAATGCTACAGATTTCCAGCAGACTCCCATAAGTCAGGGGAGAGGTATGGAACAGGCATTTACTCATGGAAAATGTATACTGACCCTCTGATCTCGAACTTATAGCCTCCAGAATCAAGTCCAAACCACTCAGTTTGAGTCCTGTGTTAGGGTCACCTTAGAATACTAACACATACCCCAGTCTTATAATATCTGTGAAGTGGTTTTCTGAAATTTCAGGGCTTTGGTGAATAGATAAAGAAGAAAGGCTTATTATTTGCCTGGTCATCAGTAGAAGTCAAACACACACCTCCCTGGCATAAACTCACCATCTCCAAAGAGCTGCAGGATAGCTAGATCTATCTGACGCTTCCAACCGGAATCTTTTTGGATGGCGATTCCATAACCAGTCGAGGCAAAGACCTTCCCACTGCCAATAGTCACTAACTTGCAGCCTTCGTCTCTGCCTGCCATGTAGTTCAGCACCGCGGCATCATAGATGAAGGCATCCAGCTTCCTGTGCAAGAAAAAAGCAAACACACCAAGTTCCATGGTGGTATTTTAGCACAAAACCACCGAGGAGACTGTACACATGTAGCAGGAGACCCTTGCAAGCTAAAAGGAGCATTGGTCAAGTTGGAACTCAGCCTGAATCTGAGACTAAATCCCATGCTGGGATGTGAATGGAGGTGATTTGGGGCCTAAAGGAGGAGTTCTTTCCCTCCCACTGGGAATGAGGAGAATGTACGTTGGGCCCGAAGCCAGCTCATAAACACTGTCTGAAAAGGATAAGGAGTAAAAGAAATCAATAAAAATCATAACTGAAATAATGAAAAGGAACCATCACCATGATAACCACAAAGAGCATGGCTGAGATTTATAGAACATTTTTCAGTTCTCAGTTCATTGCCATCCAGAGTGGGAATAAGTGGAGGTGCATTTTTGTGGTGAGCACTGCTATTTTTGTGGTGTCAAAGGTTTCCAAACTGTGTTTTGCAGCCTAAGAGAAAGAGACGAGTTGGGTGGTGGCTTGTGTTATGAGCTAATGTTTAAGTCAAGAGAAGAGGCAACATACACAAGAACTGAGAACTCTCAGGTTCTCAAACATACACGAACCCCACTTTCCGTACCATGTTTGCTAGGAAGGTCTAGGCAGAAAAGAGGGGAAGGGCAGGAAGACATGAATTCATCTTTAAAACCATGTTTCAACACATCATAAATGAGGAGGAAGACGTTCAGAGAGGCATGCAGATAACATAAAAGGTCTGAAAAAAAATCAAATGACACCCCCTATGCTTTGATGAGTCCAGTGAGTTTTATGTCTTCTAAAGGAAAAAGTTAAGCCATCTCTGATATAAGGCATATATTTAAAACAGGTACACAAGTACTAAATTAATAGCATACCCCTTCCCCCCCAAAAAATACCCCAAACAACAACAAAATCTCTGACAGGATTTAGAAATGAACCAATGACAAGACTGTCCAAAGTGGTTCTTTATGCAAGCACAAATCTCCCTTTTTGGAAATCTGCTCTGAGTTCATGGGGACAGCAGAGCTTAATATTACTAAGTAACAATGCTCTGGGTGGCTCTTCCAGGACTGAAGCCCCATGGGGAGAAAGGGGAAGCCAATGATGCCAGTCTGCCTCTGACACAGCATGTCAGCTGCAAGTCCCCATGACCCTCGAGCCTGACATCAATAATGACAAATGATCTTATCTACAGCTGTGACTTCTGGAGGCCAAATCAAGGAAGGAGCCCATGTGGTTGGGAATCTGTAAGCTCACAAAGGTACAGTTCCCAAGCTCCTTTAACAAGAAAATGCTTCATTGAGGATAGAACTAGATCCATAAACGTCAACAAAAAGCAGAATGGAGGTAGGTCAACACTTATTTTTGGCCATACCTGGTGATTCTCAGGAGTTACTCCTGTCTCTGCACTCAGGAATTACTCCTGGGAGTGCTAGTGGAACCACATGGGATGCCGGGGATCAAACCCAGGTGGGCCACATGCAAGGAAAGCACCCTACCAGCTGCACTATCGCTCTAGCCCCTGGTCCACACCTCCTTACAGCTCATTCTCTTAGAACTTTTACCTGTTTATTTCTCCTGCATCTATAATACACCAGAATCATAATTTTTGCCATTAATCATCAGGTCTTACTTTCACACATAACACATAAGTGTTATCCTTGACTCTTTCTATTCATGCTTCTCTTCAATTTCTGTTTCATGGTTATATGATTATATTAAGACAAGTAGAATATATTTTTGAAAAATAAAAGAAAAAATAGAAGCAAACAATGTTCTAGGAATTTCTGTCCTGGTCTGAATTATGCTGTCAAATTTAACTTAGAAATCCATAAAGAGAAATGAAGTCGTCTTTGATTTAACTTTGTAAAGCACCCAAGCATGCCATAGCTGATATTATGTTGGATAAATCTGAGAGATATAGCAGAGAATTTCAACTTAAAAATGGTTCTTACCCTGTTTTAAGGGAGAGCAATGCATCATCTACACCCCTCTGGTTGAACTTTCCCATGTAGGCATGCATTTCTGCATAGTTATTGCGAATATTTCTTTCTGTGCTGCCATTGGGCACAGTCCCAAAGCGGAAAGGGGGTGAGAAGTCATTTGGTCTCTGGAACTGTAGAGAGAGAGAGAGAGAAAGAAAGAAAATGTTTCATAAAATGTGAAGAGAATAAGTCGGCATTAGTGGATTTATAACAGAAGGGACCCAATTGTAGTTCACCAACTACGTTAGCCTTTACTCAGAGGCAGAAGTTATTATTTGAAAGTGGATGTCAATGGGATTCAGTTTAGCATGTAGCACTGTCCTCCCATTGTTCATCGATTTGCTCGAACGGGCCCAGTAACGTCACCATTGTGAGACTTGTTGTTACTGTGTTTGGCATATTGAATATGTCACAGGTAGCTTGCCAGGATTTGCCGTGTGGGTGAGATACTCTTGGTAGCTTTCCAGGCTCTCCGAGAGGGGTGGAGGAATCTAACTCATGTCGGCCAAGTCAGCTGCGTGCAAAGCAAATGACCTACCCACTGTACTCCAGCCCACAGTTTAGCATGTATTGTTGGGAACTGTCTCTTTTCCCAATGTCACATTAATTCTTTACACTGATGTGTTTTATTAATGAATAACGCCCAATACCAGTGGTCATGGGCCCAGGAGGAATATACTATTAATTTAGTTACCTGTAAAAATATGCTCCCAGTTCTTTAATTTAGGACTGAAAATACACTGACATTGTACTGTTAATGTTGTGGGTCTTGGTAAGGTGGGCTACATTGATCCCTGAAAATAATTTGTTGGGTATTTTCACTGAGAAATTGTTAAATGACCTTTTACATGCAGTAAATGTTTATATTTTATCTGATATGAGTTATAATAAATTATAAAATCAAACATACCATGAGTTCTTAAACAAGGTTGATAATTACAATGGTATCTCTAATGTCTGTCATCATAAAGCAAAGATCTCTTGGATTTTCACCCTGATGTCATCAGCTTTATTTCTGGACATGGCCCTATTGTAAGTTTGTGTGTTGAATCTTGAACATATATAATGTATACATTTATATTTTTGTAGTTTGAAGTGGTCTGTTCTTTCAACATAAACTCACCTTTCACTGCTGTCCAATTCATGTCCTTCATCTACAAAAGTAAATCAAAGCAATTTCTTCAGGAAACCTGAAGTGTGTTCTTTTCTCTTTCTACCCCCGAATGATCCATCCTTACATGATATTCCTGGCTTAGATTGCTAAAATTCACACTACAAACGTGATTGCTTTCTAAATGAACTGGCAAAGTTCTGAGGTTAGTGTCTGATACAGTCCTTCAGAATGTAAGCTCTGGATTGAAACAGGTGTGGATTAAGGAGCCATTATTTTGGTGTGACCTTGGTAGGTAACATGAACCCTCTGCATCATCTCCTCATTTTCAAGGAGACAATAATGCCTATTTACAAGATTGCTGAGGATTAAAAGCTCTGATGCAGAGAAATGCTAGGCATAGCATCTTATCAGAGTAAGTGCTCAGTAAATTTTCTTTATATTACTTTTAATTTGTGTCTAGTTTCCACACTCCTTGCTAGATTTTATGATCTCCAGACTTTTATTTTACTGGCACAACAATGGTCAGAGAGAAAAAAGGCCAGTATTGTTCTTCTAAGCCTTGATGTAGACATATATTTAAATTCTTCCTGGTTTCACTATTACGCCATTTACTTTGGAGGCACATTTAAAAATCAAATCTACCAATGTAGAAAAGCTGAACTTTTGCAGTTGCCTGCTTTGAGAGTCATGCTCCTTTTCTTCATCTGAAAGCTGCAGCAATTCTCAGAAAAGGGGACTTCATGGACGAGAAATGTCACCAGGAACCACAAATGACATCCTAATTGCTTGGAGTTGGCCACAGTGAAAAATGCAATGGCACTAGGCAACCTGTGATGCATCAAAAGACCCCTTTTTGCCTGATTCAAAAAGCTCCCAGCTTGTCTCGCCACATTGATTTTTCCCATCTAGAGGTTTTGATTATTTTCAAAGGAGGTAGTTAGTTTAAATGAATAAAAACAGAATAATAGTGACAACAACAAAAAGACAAAGAACTTGAGCATAAGATGATCCACTTATGGTTAACTAGCCTAAATCTTTCACATTACAAATGAAGAGACAGAGGTCCAAAGGGGACAAGTAATTTGTTCAAGGTCACACAGTGGCAGTGATGGCTAACAGTATCAAAGATCAATTGATTTAATTAATAGTACTCTTCACTGTCCCTAGAGGAGAGCAAGTTTAAAGTCAACAGGGATATGCTTTATGGGAAGAGACAGATCCAGAATGCATGAAGATCACCACTGGAGAAGGCAATCAAGAAGATGTACAACCACTTAACTGGAATCTGATTTTTTTCTCTCTTCCTTACTCTGTGCACAGGGGTCAGTTTCAGGCTATACTGAGGAAGCCCCTGACATTACAGACACACAACTGGCAAGCCAGTCAGGAAACAGAAGACACAGGCCTCGGAAAATCAGCATCCTTGGGAGAAATCCTGCATGACCATTGACTGCTATGTGGGGGAGGGGTGGGCTGTATAAGCTTCTTAAGCATTTTTTATTCCCCACTGGACCTGGTATCTCATGTTGCCTGGTAATGAAAGGGTCCCTGAGACACTTCATACCTTCACAAAGCAGAAAACTAGCTCTAAGAAGGCAAAATGCTAGTGAAATAGATTAAACTTTTTTTTAGCATCTCCTGAGTGAAATGACCATTTGAGTTAAGGGTGCCTATCTATGACCCTGGAAGTTATGGATCTGGCACTGGGGCCAGGATTAAAGGAGACAGTATCACTAGGATTTATCTGCCAACTCTGGGAACAAATATTCCAGAAGCCCCGTGCCACAACCCCATGATAAAGTGATGTAAATAGTGCTGCTGCTGATAGAGCCTCCAGGAGGAAAGCACTGGCAGACTCCAGTGGACTCAACTCTTGAGGGAGATGGCTGCTGATTACTCAAGAGCCCTGCCTGTTAACCCTCTGAACTGGCAATTGGGCTGTTCTGAAGATACCTATTTAGTGACTTGGAATGTGGGAACTCAACAGATAAACTTAGCAGGCACTATGGAATTTTAGAATCTACCTGTCGGAGTCTGAGAAGGTCCTCACTGCTTTCCAAAGCCAAGCTAATCGGTTAGTGACATCCCTTTGCAATCTAGAAGCTGATGACCTGCCTCAGGTATGTGATCCTTTAGTGAATATGGTGAGTAAGGTGCACAGAAAGAGGCCACCTCTGTGCCTGAGTGAAGCGGTGTTGCCAATGATGCTCAATTGCCGTGGAAATACAGTAAACTGATTAAAGGAGCACTAGAATAGCCCATAGACTATTAGAATAGACTGCCTAAGGGTCTAACTGCTGGGGTTCCCAACTGAACTGGCCAGGGATTAGTAAAATAATTATTCTGATCACTTTCCTGTGAAAGCTCAAAATATACTGTTTTGTGATTTCTGCATTGGGCCTAACCCAAGATTCTCCTTGTGTCCACATGAACCAGACTTCCACATTAGAAGATTAAGAAGGTTGAGTACAGATTCCATGTATAGATATTCTCATAATAAGGAGTGGGTGAGTGAGTTCACATTTCAAATGTCATTCTATGCAAGACTAGACCAAAGAGCATGAGAGTGAATGGAGAGTTCGTCTTCCTTGAAACCTGCAAATGGCAGGGTTGACTGAAAGGAAAATAGAATATTAAAGTAAAAACCCACTTTGATTAGGTGGACTGAAAATACTTCCTGGGCTTTAAATATTGAGTGACCAACCTCTAAAATCCATTGCCCCATAAAGCAGTCTGGGGATCCCTATCAAGGCCCTCCACTCTCTGAAGGTATGAGAGTCCTGTGGGTAATAGCTATTGCCCCGAATTTTATCATGAATGAACATACTATGAAACTGAGAACACTAAGCTCCATCACACCTGGAAAAGAAATCACACACTGGAGGTTACAGGATGTCCCACCAGAATGAATAAGTTGCATGGAAAGGATTCACACAGTCTTCACAGAGCTCAAGTAGGACCTGACACAAGTAGGACCCGATTGCTGTGCACTATACTTGGCATGGAATTCACATCTGGAAAAGGGGAGAGCGTGGTGGTCTCAGTCTGACAGAGCTCATGTTGCAGTCCTTGTATCTGATGGTGCAGTCCATATATGATGTGTGCAAACAGCTACATTCAAGAACTGCAAGCCTCCTTCTCAAAGTCAAGAAACACATTGTTTTTCAAAGGTATAGCCATTTGGCCACTACCTTTGTTGTCTCCATTGGTCTGGAGGACATTAAAGCATACTTAAGAGTCCTTAGCAAATCCACCCAATAAGCTTTAAATGAGAGCCAACAAAAGATGCCCTTACTGAATACTAAATGTCTCTAATGAGAAAATCTTCCCTATAAAGCAGAATGCCCTTGGACATTCTTGTTACCTCTCAAGGAGACACCTGTACCATTTTTTTATCCAAAGAGAATATTTTATTTCATACTTGTTTTGTCTGCCTGTATGTCATCTTTGTTAAGTTTCATTAAGACATGAGAAGATGCTCTGATTGATCCAAACCCCAGTCTAGTGTGTTTTATGTGGAGGGGGTTTAGATATTGGGGCTCCTGATGAAAATAAATGTCACTGATTTGGGGGAATCATTATCCCCACCTATGTTTTTCCCCTGCACGTGTCTATGTTGTTGCTACAGAAGCTGCCTCCAGTGATCATTCCAGTAGGAGTCATTTCCATGCAACTGAAACCTTGTGGTGACAAATTAGGGCCCACTACAGAAACGGGGAGGTAGAACAAATTGCAAGAGTCTGTCACAAGGACTGGATATCAGGTAAGGCAATCCAGAGAACATGAGCTGAGATCTGGTCCTGGAAAACCAGAAGCTACTCACGACCTCTCCTATCCAGGAAGCATGGATTTCACTTGTCTCCCCTGCTCCCAGAAGCTTCTCCAAGGACACATCCTTGACTGAGTGCTGTGCAGACCATCTGGAGATCACACATGACCAAACCCTGTTTAGGCCTCTAGTCAAACTTTTACAGTTTGACAGGTGAGAGTGAAAAGTTCATTTTGTTGCCACCCAAT